TGATCCCAGCTACTTGGGTTCCCTACCTCCTAGTTCATGACTGTCAGCCCCGTTGTCCCAGCATCGGAGCAACTAGGTGATGATGTGCTCTCCTGGTTGACGGGTAAAATCTTTCTGCATATTCCATAGCTCAGTTGAGGCCCAGGGTCAAGAAGTCACCTCTTCTTCTTCCTCTTCCTCTGATTCTCATAATAATATCTCTTTTTCAGATGCTGTCCTGTGTTGTAATTACATTGTTAATTCATCTTTCTTCATTGTGTGTGTTTCTCTTTGTTCCTCTTTTTTGCTTTTTCCTTGTGTATGGGGACAACTGATATTGGCACAAATTGGTCCTCTAGTTTAGCTGCAGTGATTATTTCTGTGGTTTGAGTGGCTGCAGTATCAGTTGTTGGGATTGGTGCAGGCACTGTGCTTGGGGTTTGAGTAGCACCAGGAGCTCGTCATTACCATAAAGTACAGTGAAAGAAGAACCTTAGCACAGGCCCCCCAGCCAATAAACACTAAACCAGCAAATACCGTCTGTAAGTATGGTATGACATGCTGAAGCTCTGAGATCAAGAGCAGGAACTTTGAGAGCCAGTAAATCAGCATTGTGAGGAGTGACTATTAATTCAGAACAATGAATGCTTATCACAAATACAGTTGGACGCTCTGCGGTCAGATCTGCCGTTATCTCAAGCCTTCGTGCCCCATGTTGGTCGCCAGAGAGAACTGTCATGGTTTTAGCCCAGCCGGCAACCCAGAACCACGGACCTGTTCGCTCAGTCCCCTCCTTTCCTCTCCCCTCTCCTGGAGGAATGGGGAGGAGAATATAACTAATTTAACTCTCACAGGTTGAGATAAGAACAGTCCAGTAACTAAGGTATAACACAAAACCACTACTGCTAACACCAATAGTAATAATGATAAGGGAAATAACAAGGAAAGAGAATACAACTGCTTACCACCTGTGACCGATACCCAGCCTGACCCAAGCAGAGATGTAGCCCTTCCGGGTAACTGCCCCCAGTTTATATACTGGGCATGATGTGCTGTGTTATGGAATACCTCTTTGGTTAGTTTGGGTCAGGTGTCCTGTCTCTGCTTCCTCCTGGCTTCCCCTCCTCCCTGGCAGAGCATGAGCCTCAGAAAGTCCTTGGTCAGACTAAACATCACTGAGCACCAACTAAAAACATTGGTGTTATCAGCGCTGTTCCCAGACTGAAAGTCAAAAACATGGCACTGCACCAGCTACCAAGAAGGAGAAAAATGACTGCTACTGCTGAACCCAGGACAGTGTTCAGTCATTATTAGAAGACTGTAGTTTGGATCCCAAAGTCAACCTTAAGATGTGTGCACAGCAAATACTGGGAGTTGATTATCTTGGCCTCAGGCAGTTATGCAAAGCAGCTGAAGTTGCAGGAAGAATATAATCTAACTTGCTGTATTTATATAATACTACATCTGTGAGGATACTGTGCATTCATGTGTTTGTAGAGATACCTAAAATCTGAAGGAGTTCATGTATTATAAAGATGCAATTGTTTTTGTGTGGGGTTCTGCCTCCATAGATACCCCACTGCATTACAGATACTGCTTTACATTTGTTAGTGCTAATAAGGTGGTTGAGAATAGAGGAAACCTGCAAGATCTCATGAATGATAAATGTCTTACAGGATGCGAAAGTTTGATTATTTCAGTGTAGTGTGATTAGAATCATGGTATTTCAGCTTGTCAGGATTCATTTCCTTTGACATATCTTTGTAGTAGCTGCCCAGACTGTACTGTATCATTTCTTTCTTTGTTGTTATTACCAAGGATAAGAAATAATTTTGTCCTTCAAAAATTTGCATTGAACTTCCATGGCTCTGCATGTGATCTGCAGACTCTCTTTCATTTTGACAGTGCTTATGTTTTATAAATGTTTGACCTTACTGAAGCACGTAATCAGACTCTACAACTCAGAGAGAGTTATAAAGCATCTATGTTTTTACAGGCCTAGGTGCAAGGGGGATCGCTCCTCCTAACTTGCACACCGAGGGGTTAAGCAAGCAGATATTTATTACACACAAACATGCATATTCATTAGGTTCCTGAGAGAGCGGTGGGGATATTACAGTTAGTTTAGGTACTTATTATCATAAGTTTCCTCCCTTTTGGCGCTTGCGCACTGCCCTCCGATGGTCGTAGCCAGAGGTCTTCAAGAGGAAGTAAGTAGTCTTCCTCATGTGGGCAGGGTTCTTCAAGATGAAGTATGCAGTCTTCCTCACAGTGCACTTTTCACCTTTGGCACAGTTGGATGCTCCAGTAATCACAAAGCTAGCTGAAACCAGCTGTATCTGCAGGTTTCTGATAGCTGGCAAAGATTTAGAACAGTGTGACCTTCATACAAAATTTATTGCAAGCAGAACAGGCTGGGCAGACAATGAATATCCAAAGCTATGTTCGGGAGTCGCTGTCTCCAAACTAACTGGTAAGTAGAAGGATGGTAAGAAATAATTCACTCATTAGAAGGATGGAAAGAAATAATTCACTCTTGTTAGTAAGACTGCTAAATTATGTTATCACACCACAGACTTACAACACAAACATTGTTCTCTATCTTAGACCTAAGTTAAAAGTATCTTAATCCTATGTTTTCCAGGCACTTGCTTTCCTTATATCAAATATCTTAACCCTATGTTTTCTAGGCAGTTGCTTTCTTTATATCATTACAGTGCTCTTTAATAATGATGGTTGATGGTCTTTTAAAACCAGGTTGTAAAGTTTTCAAGTCTAAAGGTTTATCATATCAGAATTAGACACTAGACTGATTAGGCGGATGGTTTATAACTAGAGACTATTCCTTGGTTTTCTGGAGGAAATGTCCAATGACAATTATTATGCTAAGTTTTTAGAAGTGTCAGTTATTTGAGTAGTCATGATTAATCAAGAAAAGTGTTCAAGTTCTAAAACACAGGCAATCATATGTCCTGAAAAGTAAGCTTTTTCAGTAAGTTTATAATTAAGCTTTTTTCTTTCAGAATCAAATTTTGATGTATCAGCTAAATTCTGTGAATTATTTTTTCAGTAGGAATTTAGTATGTATTGAAAATAGTGTCTTACAGTTTTATGTCCTTGAAGTATAATATTCAGGAATCCTAGTCTCCACTGTGACTGAGACAGAAAAATTGTGTGTACCATTAAGTCAAGACAGGCAGAATATAAACATTACTTCTGCGAGTCCTGCAAAATATTTTGCAAGATTGAGGAACATTGCAGGCTATGCAGTTTTTAACCTCTAGAACATCAAATGCCTGTTTCTTCAGTATGTTAGTGGGATGACTGTTATTTTACTGTGCAGAGTTCAGATTTACTATTATGTTTTTATTCAGTTATTTTAAGGTAGTTTTATTTGAATTAAATTGGAGGGTGCTTTAAATGTGTAAAATTTAGTAATATACTTCAGTCACTGACTTTATGTTTTACTCTTTTACTTATGTAGAAAGTCTACGCAGGTGGAAATTTACAGTCTGCTGTGAGTATTGTAGGAAATAGTATCTTACTATGAAGAACATATCAGAAAAAGTCATAGGTTTCATGCTTCATAGGTAGTATGGTTGCTTTTTCTCACCTTGTCTTAATTCCTAGCCACTGTCAGAAGTTACTCAGCTAAGTGATTGCTTTCAGTGTTAATTTTATAGGCACTTTAAATAATTATTGTGTTTTAAAATGTGTGTTATGAGCTATGTAGTTAGATGTAAACCCCAGGTTATTAAATAACATGCTAAAGAAATTGCAAAAGCTCGGCTAATTTGGCAACTCATTAAGAAGTGTTTAGAGTGATAACTGGAGAATATAAAATGAATTATGAATTACTTTCTTTAAAAAATATAAGAAAGATTGTCTGAAAAGTTATCAAATTTGACAGCTCTATAAATTGCTCCTCTTGACAACTAATTCCTCCTTCACTTGCAAAAACAGAGGAGGGGAAAATAAGGCAATGTTTAAATGCTCTTGAATGAGATTGACTTGGTTGATATGTGCAGAGCTGTCCAGGTTCTAAACTGCTTCTGCAGCCTGGTAATACAGGTTTTTCTTCACATATCCCAGGGCCATCATTTGCCAGATCTTCTCCCAGCTGTTTGGGAGGAAAAGGAATTGGGTTTCTCATGAAAATTCCTCTAGTTTCATCAGCTAGGCCTGTATTCAGGACAGAATGTGAGGAAGGAGCCACCTTTCTCTAGGAACAGCGGAAGCTCCTGAAATAGAGGTGTAGTCTGCTTTCCCTTAGGATTTTAGTATATGGGCTTAGGATAATACTTAGGATATAGTATACTTTACTATATCCTTTACTATATAGTATATAGATATACTTGAGTATATGGGTTTAGGATAAAGTCAGTGGTTTTATCCTTATATGTTGCATTGCTGAAGGTTCAGAATTCATACCTCTATACAGTAGTACTTACCTTTGTAGGGAATTGATACAGCCATCCTCTTCCCAAGTTTAAGAAAAGATACTTTGATTGCAGTGCCAAACACAGAAGTTCAGAAAGATTAAGATATATAACTTCCCATTCATCCTACACTAATCTCATCTGTACATATGCAGTGAATTCCTTGCAGTCTGTGTGTGATAAATGCACAAAGATAAAAGCTTCAGCTATGTAATCAAGGCACACAGAAGGCAATTATAAACTCAAATATTGAGGAGTACTGACAAGTAAATGTTATAACCGAACTAATGAATCAAATGTAATATCAGTTTTTTTCAAAGTCACATTGTGTTTTTCCTGATCTTTTCCAAATAACTGTATGGCAAATAGCTTTTAGGAGAAATATTGCTAACATATCATTGAACATAAGAAAGCTCATTTTTGTATTATTTGTGAATATATATTTGAGAACATATTAATGGTTTGGTTTTGTTTTTTTCAGCATTAATAATGATTACTCATGTAATTGCTATTATTAAAAAGTCTTGGAGATCAAGTTACTAAGGAGGAATATAAATAAAATGCTTATTTTTCCTTTATTAGCAACCAACTTCTGTAGCCACATCTACTGTTCACCTGGGATTTCCAGTGCAAGCCAAATTTGTTCAATCAGCTGTTACACCTGTCAGTGGTACATCTGCTGAGACTCTGCCAGGAGGCTCTATTCTCTCCCATACCACAGTAAGTAATAACAATATAAAAAACAAAAGATGTGTGAAGAAAAGGATGTTTGTAATTACATGTTTTTTCAGAAGTGAATTTTAATGTTATGTTCGTGTAGGACATGCAGCAAGAGGACAAGGGGGAATGGGTTTAAGCTGGAAGAGGGGATATTTAGATTAGGTATTGGGAAGAGATTCTTCCCTGTGAGGGTGGCGAGGCACTATCACAGCTTGCCCAGAGAAGCTGTGTCTGCCCTGTCCCTGGCAGTGTTCAAGGCTGGGTTGGATGGGGCTTTGAGCAACCTGGTCTAGCGGAAGGTGTTCCTGCCCATGACAGGGGATTGGAACTAGATGAGCTTTAAAGTCCCTTCCAACCCAAACCATTATATGATTCTATGTTTGCTTTTATCAGGAATATAATCCCAGAAATTGATAATAAATGTATAGTCACGCTGTTACACAGGTGTTGAGCGATTGTGGTGTCTGTAAAGAAAGAGGCTAAACATACACACACACAAACACGCTGCTTTCACAACTAGTTCTACTTTATTTACTCAAGCGTGGTAATATATAGTATACAGATATGGGTCTGAGCCATGAAACCAAACAGCAACTACATCTTTCCCAGTAACTGTTTTCAGTCGCTATAAATTCCATTCTATGAACAGTCACTCCCCAGGCTGTTTCCCAGCTCAACCTTGCACCCAAATTCTCCTTGGCTTACTCAAGACCCAGGTGCACTATCAGTAATTCTTCTTCTTCTTCTTTAATTATCCATGTAGTGGGAACAGGATGGCTTTGCAGTTCCTACATCTCCCCCTTTTTTGTTTTGCATGATACTTTGACTTCAATTCTTCACAAGTTGGCAACAAATCTCTAGGTGCTATCTCTGGCAGTGTTCAAGGACAGTTTGGACAGAGCCCTGGGGGACATGGTCTAGTGTGAGGTGTCCCTGCCCATGGCAGGGGGGTTGGAACTAGATAATCTTAAGGTCCTTTCCGACCCTAACCATTCTATGATTCTATGACAGGGAGGAAAAGCAAAGCAAAGCGGTGATGTCCAGGCTCCAAAGACAAGATCTCACCGATTTGTTGGCCAAATGGACTGGGAGTCTTGGGAACCTGGAGAATAGACGCTGTTACTTCCAAAAGCACAGTCCTTGGCTTTCCTTATCCCCTTCCTTGCTTGAGGAGTCTTAAATCACACAAGATCAGTTTCTTGACATTAGCATTTAAAGATGGAAAGTTCAAATACAATAGTTACTTATTATATTATTATTACTTATAATAGTTATTTATGCTAACTTTTGCTTTCTTACTGTGAGAATGATGAAACCTACTTTAGGTGACTCTGCTTGAGCAGGGGATTTGGACTAAATCATCTCTCATGCCAACCGCAGGCTACCTGGCCTGCCCTTCCCTCCTGGATGGCCCTCTTATAACAGAGGAGGCCATCCCTTACATCAAGGTTTGGCATGGCATGTGTTCCCACTGCTCAATGCCTGCTGGGTTGTAGCCAACAGCGGAGCTAAAGGTTCTTCTTGGTGGCAAACAGAGGCCAACCCAGTCTTGCCCTTAAATATGGTGGGAGGCATTCGGCCAACCTTAGCCCTTGCACCTCGTTGTCAGTGCAGTTTCACCTGCCTCATCCAGTAGCAACTCGCTACTATGGCAAAGCACACACAGATTTACATTAGCAGTATAACTACTCCAGGGTACAGCAGTGCTTTGAAGATGCTTGTGGCAGTGAAGGACCAGCCAAAGAAGTTTCCAACCAGTGGTGTTCTCCCACCCTCTTAATTTGTTCCATTACCTGTTTTATAACACTATCATTGTGATGTACAGTTACTAGGATTTTTCTAGCTTCTGCCTTAGCATTTTCTAGCAGCTGCTGTAAATTTGCATGCTCTAACATCTCTTCTACAAGTGACAAATCCAAATGCCACAAGGTGTAGTTTCTTATTAGCAACTGGCTAGTAAATACAGGTGGTTTATGCACAAAATCACAGCCTCTAATAATAGCTATGTTGCAAGCACACATATTTGAATTGTTAACCACAGTCTGGTTACAGAGACTTTTCAATTGCCCCCAAGTGATGTTTTACAAATCATGCCTTTTTCTCTTCCTCTCTCTCATTCTGCTTGGGGTCTTCAAGGTCAGCTCCTGCATCTGAGGCACTGGGTTCTTTAACTTGTCTGTTCAGCTCATGGTACGGCTTGGCAAACTTTGCAGGCAGCTGCTGCGGACCTGTAGGTAGGAGGACACAAGCATACCCCCTCCCCCAGGTTATCAGTTCCACTGGCCCTTCCCATTTCTGCAGGCCCAAAGGATCACGGTACCACACTTTAGCACGTTCTGAAGGTGGACTATCAGAGCCAAAATGTCATTACAGTGCAGTGACAGGAGTATTCATGGAATATTGAGTGCAATTTAAAAAATTCAATGTATAGATGGCATTGTCTAATTGTTCTTGAGGGACTATATTCCCCCTTTTTTGTTTTTGTAGCATGGATTTCAGAACAGAGTGAGTTCATTCCATAATCCCCTGGCTTGTAGGGGAGTGGGGAATACCAGTGACATGTGTGACACCCCACTGCTGTAAAAATTGTGATAAAGCTAATGAATTATATGCAGGGCCATTATCTGTTTTCAATTGGGAAGGAACTCCTAAGGTACAAAGGCATGCGTTAAATGTTGGATAACATCACGAGCCTTCTTTCTTTTATGGGCAGAGGCTGAAATCATATGTGAAAATGTGTCAACGGATACATGAACATATTTTAAGGCACCCAAGGAAGAAATGTGTGTAACATCTTTTTGCCAAATCTCATTCGCCTTTAAGCCACGAAGATCTACACCCATGGCAAATGAGGATTGAGCTGTTGACTGACAGTCAGGGCAAGACCTGACAACTTGCTTTGCTTGAAAAGAAGACAGGTTAAAATGTTTCTTTAAAGCAGAAGCATTCTGATGAAAAAAGGAATGTGAAGCAGCTGCAGAAGTAAACTGCACAGTGTTAACAGTCAAGGAGTCTGCTATGTCATTACCCGCAGTTAAAGGGCCAGGCAGGTTGGAATGCGATCTAATATGACCAATAACAACAGAATAATTCCTGGTTTCCAAACAATGTTTTAGCTTCAGCAAAATGTCAAAAAGTGCATGGTTATTGATTTCTTTTAACACACTAAAAGAGAGGTGTGGTAACAATCAAACAACATATTCTGAGTCACAAACAATATTTAAGGATTCTGCAGGGAACAACTGTAGCCCATGTAAGACTGCAGCAATTTCAACAAGCTGCATAGAGCCGTCCACATGTATAACAGAGGATTGCCAGGAATCATTTTCAAACCAGACCACAGCAGCTTTACCAGTTTTCCAGAACCATCAACAAAAATGGTTTTAGTATCCTGAATGGGTTGTGTTTAAATTACAAATCGCTCCTGTAGGTCAAAATCTGAAAAAGCTTTTAGCAATTTATGTTTCAGAGTACCATAACTTTTTTTTCCTGTGAAGTCTGCTAACACTATTTGGAAAGAAACAGACTGAGCAAAAAGGAACTAAAAGTCTGTTACAGTTAATGGTAGATACAATTCTGCAGGGTTGTTGCCTGTTAAATGTTGAACCCTCGTAGGGCCTTTGACGATTAAGTCAACAATCATATCACAGTATCACAGTATCACAGTATGCTAGAGATTGGAAGGGACCTCAAAAGATCATCTAGTCCAATCCCCCTGCTGGAGCAGGAACACCTAGATAATGTTACACAGGAAAGTGCCCAGGTGGGTTTTGAATGTCTCCAGGGAAGGAGACTCCACAACCTCCCTGGGCAGCCTGTTCCAGTGTTCCGTCAACTTCACTGAGAAGAAGTTTCTTCTCAAGTTTAAGTGGAACCTCTTGTGTTCCAGTTTGTACCCATTACCCCTTGTCCTATCATTGTTTGCCACTGAGTAGAGCCTGGCTCCATCCTCGTGACACTCCCCCTTTATATATTTATATACACTAATAAGGTCACCCCTCAGTCTCCTCTTCTCCAAACTATAGAGACCCAGCTCCCTTAGTCTTTCCTCGTAAGGGAGATGCTCTTCTGGCGTGTCAGCCACTCCTCCCAGCTTAGTGTCATCAGCAAACTTGCTGATAGTACACTTAATTCCCTCATCTAAATCATTGATGAATATATTATCACTTGGATGTGTCTGCAGTCTTGGAAGCTTGACTACCCTACGTTCTCCTACAACTGGACCTTGAGCTTGTTTGGAGGTCATGGCAGGGGAGTGCAGCTACCGTATACCCGTGACCGATGAATGGTACTGCCTGTATCGGGGAAGGTCGTCCTCTTCGACCGAGCGCAAAGCTTCGGGAGGGACGCGCGTGGAGTGGTGAGGGAGGAAGGGGACACCCGCCTAGCCGGCCAGATCAGCCTAATCAACCCTGGCGATCAATGGGGTGACAGATTGTCGCAGCCAGATCGCCCTCACATCCTAATGGCCTTTGTTGCATATTAACAATGAGCAGAGAAATCGCCAAGTGTAAACGCACTCTATCTGCCTCTAGCCTCTCAATTTTTTGAGTCACTATATTCAAAGCCTGAATAGCTTTAGGGGCAAGCTAATGAGGAGAATTCAAGTCTGAGTCCCCTCATAATAAATCAAAGAGTGATTCAAGGTCGGCATAAGTAATACGCAGCATAGGATGTGCCCAATTAATAGTATCTAAGAGCTTCTGTAAATCATTCAAATTTGTGATTTTGTTTGCCAATTTTAGCTTCTGAGGCTTTACTTTTCTTTCAGTTAGCACCCACCCCAAATATTTCCAGGGTGGCATTCTTTGTATTTTTTCATTGGCAATTTGTATTCAAAAACAACAGAAATTTTCTGTTAAATGATTAACAGTAGTTTCTAAATATTGTTCCATTTCTGCACAGACCAAAATGTCATCCATATAATGATAAGTTATCGATTCAGGAAATGCACTCCTAGTTGGTGATATAGTTGTGGAAACTACTAGCTGACAGACTGCTGGACTGTTCATCATTCCTTGTGGCAAAACAGTCCATTGATATCTTTGCATAGGAGCAGCACAGTTGTCCTGGGTTCAGCAGTAGCAGTCATTTTTCTCCTTCTTGGTAGCTGGTGCAGTGCTGTGTTTTGACTTTTGGCCTGATGTTTTGGTTTGGCCAAGGACTTTGTGAGCCTCATGCTCTGCCAGGGAGGAGAGGAAGCCGAGACAGGGCACCTGACCTAAACTGACCAAAGAGGTATTCCATACCACAGCACATCATGCCCAGGATGTAACTGGGAGTTACCCAGAAGGGCTGGGAGGAGGTATCGGTCAGTGTGTGCTAGGTCTGGTGGGGTGGGGCTGGTGGTGAGATGTTGTATTCTCTTCCCTTGTTATTTCCTTTATCGTTGTTATTATTGGTGGTAGCAGTAGTGATTTGTGTTATACCTTAGTTACTAAACTGTTCTTAACCCATGGGAGTTGCATTCTTTTCGATTCTCCTCTCCATCCCTCTGGGAGTAGGGGGAGGAAAAGAAGGGGGGGGGGGGGGAAGTGAGTGAATGAGTTGCCTGACTGGGTTTAGACCATGACAACAGTTGACAGTGGTTGTTGCCAAATCCAACCCAGCGCTGCCTGTTGTGGCAGCTGCAAGGTCGGAGATGGAGTGTTTGTTGCAAAAACCCTGTTGTTTTGAGGGGCACTGGGTTTCGCCGTGCTCCCCCTGGAGTTTCCCAACAAAGAATTTCCATCCTTATCAAATTTAGATTTACACTGTTTGCTCTAGTGATATCCTTTCTTGCATCTGGGACAGAGTTGAGATGGTGTTTTTTCTTTCTGCTTTTATTTCTTTTTGGGACACATTTTACTAATATATCCTTCCTGTCCACAGTTAAAACATTTTTGCTGACTCATATTAAGTTTCAGTAATGCAGCAGCCAGTACAGAAGCCTTATGAGTCTCTATAATGATATCCTGACATGTTTTAATAAACTCAGCAGTGCCTGTAAATTTTTCCCTGACTGGGGCTAAAGCAGCTTTGCAGTCTCCATTTGCATTTTCATATGCTTGCTGAAATAAAAGTGCATGAGCAGCCTCAGGATTATCAATCTGCCTTTGTATAGCATTGCTTAATTGGTCTATAAAAGACACATAGGGTTCCTGAGACCCTTGGCAAACAGTTGCAAAATAAGTAGTTTTCTTCCCTGATTCAGGTACTCGCCTCCAGGCTTGTACAGCCATATGGGTGGCTTGCTGGAATACCAGAGGCTTTAAATTAATTTGATCATAAGGTTGCAACCATCGCCCAGAGCCTGTTAACGTGTCAGCATATACTGGTATTCCTCTTTGAACATTATCTAATACCTGTAAATCCGCTAAGTTATTATATTCCAGTCTCCACACCGAGTATTGAGCAGGTGTCAAAATCGTTCGCATTAAAGTGTTCCAGTCCCATGGCACCATAGATCCTGAACTAGCCATCATTTCTAGCAGACCTAAAGTATAAGGACTTTGAATTCCTTTTTCCATCACTGATTTTTTCAATTCCTTAAATACTGCATACGGAATATTTTCATGTACCGGTTTTTGTTGTCCCTGCCCATCTGTTCAATAAAATAAAGGAAAAGCAAAAGCCATGTCTCCAGTAAAATCACCATCCTCTATCACTTTCCCCATACATTTTTGTATGCCTTCTGGTTAACTAACAGCTGGTCAAATTGTTCTTTATCGAGATCAGTCAAGGGAGGTGCGTTAGGTTGAGGAGCATGAGGAATATTTGATGTGAATGCCTTTAATGGCGTCAAAGATAGGTATAAATTTTTCTTTTCTGAATCTACAGAGCCAGGATCAAAGGGGTCATCAGGATTCTCAGAAAAGATATTTTCATTGTTCTGTCTTTGCTCTTTCAAATTGTCAGTATTTTGATCATTTGTTTTATCATGTTTCTGAATTATATCCTCAGGAGGTTGTAAATTAGGTAACGCAGAATAGACTATTAAATCAACAGGAACCTCCATACCAAGGTGACTTTGAGTCTGTAAATGTTCTCCCACTCTCTCCCATATCCGAGTATGAAATGACCCTGTTGCTGGAAACCAGTTGCAATTAATTTTTACCCATAACAAAAGATTCATTACTTGCTTCTCAGACAAATTATATTCAGAGGATATTAAAATTTGCTGTAAAACTTTCAAAGAAAATTTCAGCTGATTCTACTTGTCCCATTTTTCTAACGAAATCCAGTAATTCCCCATTCAACGAATATTACTGACCTTTCACAGGTGAATGTCGGTACCAGAAATTCCCTGTCGGATTGTGCAGGCATCACAATGTTGAGCAGTTTAGTTACCACACACGGAGGGCACCATTTGTCGCATCTGTAAAGAAAAAGGCTAAACACACACAAACACAAACACTGCTTTCACAACTAGTTCTACTTTATTCAGTCAAGCATGGCAATGTATAGCATACAGATACGGGTCTGAGCCATGAAACCAAACAGCAACTACATCATTCCCAGTGACTGTTTTCATTCACTATAAATTCCATTCTATGAACAGTCACTCCCCAGGCTGTTACCCAGCTCGACCTTGCACCCAAATTCTCCTGGTTTACTCAAGACCCAGGTGCACTATTAGCAATTCTTCTTCTTTAATTATCCATGTAGTGGGGACAGGACAGCTTGCAGTTCCCACAAGTGATAACTTAAATTTTATTTTCTACTGTTTCCTAAAATAGTGGGTAGTACAGATTCAGTTTTAAGCTTCTTTTAAAAGAAAAAACTTAAATCAGCTGGACTCAAATACTGTTTCAGTAGTGGGCATGCTGCACTGTGTTTGCCTCTGTTGAGAGTGGTGGTATCTGCTGTGTGGCCACTGGTACTGCAGGATCCATGGCATCACCTGTGGCATCACAGTGCAGGTGAATGAGTTAGCTTGTAACTGTGTACAGTGACAGCTCAGATCCAGATGACACAACATTGTGGTATAGATAATTGTAAACCTGATGACATGACCACAGACCTTTGGGAATTGACTTGTTTGTATTAAGATACAAATTTACAGAAAGTTGTATTACAGAAGTCACATCATCATGGTGATCTTAAAGGGCTGGGTAATAGCAACTCATTTTTAGTGGTATATTCATTTCTGTAATAAAAAGAACTTTAAATGAAGACTTTCACTGTTCACTAAAGGGTGATAAAATTAGATTTAAAAGCAAGTAAAGTCAATGGTTTAATTTTGTCAGTAAGGCTGTATTTGAAAAGAAACAAGTTTTTCTTGTCAGGCTTTCAAGAACTTTATGGTTGAGTAAAAGAATTAAAGGAAGATAATTACCTGGGTGTGTGGTTTGTTTGGTTTTGTTTATTTTTATTTTTTAAATATAAAATATTAACAGGTATCAGTAGCTACATCAAGTGCTCAGAATTTATTCAAGACAACAGTAGCAATTGGAACATCAGCTTCTCAACAACTTGCAGTAATCGCTGCTGGACAAACTAAAGCTTCAGCACAAACACAGTGTCAGCCTCAGCTGTCACTTCAACCTCATACAACAGCACAAGTACCAGCACAGCCCCAGGTCATACCAAGCGCTCCTGTACCTGGAATTACAGTTGTATCACAGGTAAGTTATAACATATTAGAAGCTTAGTTTTCTTAGTACTTTATAATCTTCTCAGGTCTATTCAGAAGCAGGAAGAACTTTTCTTCATGCAAGCACACTTTCTGTGATGGAACAAATATTTTACAAACAAGAAACCTTTCCCTTCATTTCAGCTAAATGGGATATGTATTCTGAGATGAACACTTGTGGTCAGCTTTCCCCATCCTACCATGTATGTGTCAGTAAGAACTATTCTCTTTCTGCTGACAGACCAATTAGGCCTTCAGTCTATGAACTTATTATCATGTTGCTGGGCCTCAAAACTGTGGTTGCGCTGAACTGTAACGTCTCTGTTTCTAGGAGTAATTAATTTTTTCAAGCCTTTATTTTTATGTGGTGTAAAGCATCTCTTTTCCTACTGATGAAGAAAAGATTAGATATTTTAAGACTATTTCTAATTTGATTTTACTGCTGTAGCTGCATTATATAGAAACATACTGAATCAATATAACAAATTAAGATAGCTTGGGGAATATTGTACATTGTGTTTTGGGCATCTCAAAGGAGAATGCATCTCCAACAGATTGTTGTGTTACTTCTCATATTTAAGGTTATTTTTATCAAAACAGACTGAAAAATATTAAATATATTTCTCTGATTTTTTCTTTGTTGTTTGTTTGTTGTTAATATTTGTGAGGTATGATGTTCCATTACATAAAAATTGAAGAAAATGTCAGGTAACTAGCAGCAATAGTAAAATAGCTGCAGATGTATTTCAGTGTCCTGCCTCAATTAGAACAATTTCATCATTTTTCATATTTATAGTGATCAGAGCATGCATTGATCCTGATTGCAAAATATCATAGATATGATATTTCTTTTCTTTGGCTTTTGCAGGAAATGGAAGAGAATGTGAAAAAATGCAAAAACTTCTTAGCTACCCTTATAAAACTTGCTTCTCATAATTCACCATCTCCAGAAACATCCCGTAATGTGAAAGCTCTGGTTCAAGATTTGTTGGTAAATAATTTGGTTCTTTCATTTTGTCATTTATCTATTAAGCTTCCTATTTACATATGCTATGGACTATTGCTTTGATCTAATTTTTTTTTTTTATGTAATGGAAGCTAAGGGAGTTGGGCTACATCAAAATGCAATTATTCTGTATGTTACATATCTTCAAAAATCTTTTAAAGGTAGGCTGTCTCTTCAATTTCTGAAAGGGGAAATGCAACAAAGCAGTTTGTATGCATTTGTCAAGAACACTCTTGTTTTGATGGATAATATTGTGGTTGTTTATTCAGAAAAAGATAGTAAAATACAGGATTTTTCCTTGAGGACTCACTAAGTTTCTTTTCCTCCAAACCATAGTCTTTTCTTAAACACTAAGAAGCTATTTAATATTTTAACCACAGATTGAATGTAGATGCATGCCTCCACAATGTGATTTAGAGTTTCTAGGGCTGAAGGAAAAGTGTTTTCCTAAGCTGTTGTGTCCAGGCAGTTCTGCAGACAGGTGCCCCTGCATGGAGCCTTAACTGTAAGTAGATTTCAAGAGGCAAAGTTGTGTTTCAGCTAGAGAGAGTCCTTGGGCCCAGAAAAAATCTGACTTACAGTAGTCTCCAGTGCAGTATGTGGATCAGTGAATTGTATAAATGAGTTGCACACAGATGTTACTGTAGAGTGGAACAAAATGGTCAAGCTTCTTAAAAAGATTAAATATAGTCTATGAAGAACTTAGATTTAAAAGCAGTTGATACATATTTCTTTGAATTGATTGACAAAGAAACCTGTGTATTTAGACAAGCCTAAGACTTTTTTCAAGTTGGTGCCACATTACAGTATCACACAGTATCACAGTATGCTAGAGATTGGAAGGGATCTCGAAAGATCATCTAGTCCAATCCCCCTGCCGGAGCAGGAACACCTAGATAATGTTACACAGGAATGTGTCCAGGCGGGTTTTGAATGTCTCCAGGGAAGGAGACTCCACAACCTCCCTGGGCAGCCTGTTCCAGTGTTCCGTCACCCTCACTGAGAAGAAGTTTCTTCTCAAGTTTAAGTGGAACCTCTTGTGTTCCAGTTTGTACCCATTATCCCTTGTCCTATCATTGTTTGCCACTGAGTAGAGCCTGGCTCCATCCTCGTGACACTCCCCCTTTATATATTTATAGACACTTATAAGGTCACCCCTCAGTCTCCTCTTCTCCAAACTATAGAGACCCAGCTCCCTCAGTCTTTCATCATAAGGGAGATGCTCCACTCCCTTAATCATCTTCGTTGCCCTTCGCTGGACTCTCTCCAGCAGCTCCCTGTCCTTCTTGAACTGAGGGGCCCAGAACTGGACACAATATTCCAGATGCAGTCTCACCAGGGCAGAGTAGAGGGGAAGGAGGACCTCTCTCGACCTACTAACCACTGCCCTTCTAATACACCCCAGGATGCCATTGGCCTTGGGGCAGATGGTGAAAGAGTCTGGGGCTCAAGTGATCTTCTCCTCTCTCCTTCCATCTTCCACTGATGTGGGAAGGAATGGGAAGATTCAGTTCATGAACAATTGGCTTCGAGACTGGTGCTACAGGCAGGGCTTTGGATTCTTTGATAACGGCTGGTTTTATAGGGCACCAGTCTGGACAATGACAAGTGAGAAAGGTTTGTCTCACAGAGGCAAAAGGATGCTGGGGCACGAATTAGCAGGGCTCATTTGGAGAGCTTTAAACTAGATTCGAAGGGGTATGGGGTTGTAGCTGGACTTGCCCTAGTGGGGCAGCGCTCCAGAATTAATGAAGACTGGGAGGCCTCCTATAATCCTAGGGTGAAATCGGTGTGGTCAGCTCGCTCCCTGAAATGCCTGTACACCAATGCGCGCAGCATGGGAAATAAGCAGGAGGAGTTGGAAACCTGTGTTAAGTCAGGAGACTATGATCTGGTGGCAATTACAGAGACGTGGTGGGACAGCTCACATGACTGGAATATAGTCATGGAGGGCTATGTCCTTTTCAGGAAAGACAGGCCAGCCAGGAGGGGTGGTGGGGTTGCTCTTTATGTGCGGGAGGAACTACAATGCACCGAGTTCTGTCCAGGGACAGATGATGAGCGAGTTGAGAGTCTGTGGGTGAGAATTAAGGGGCAGGCTGGCAGGGGAGATACTGTTGTGGGTGTCTGTTACAGACCACCAGATCAGGGTGAGGAAGTTGACGAGGCCTTCTACAGGCAGCTGAGAGGGGCCTCACAATCACAGGCTGTGGTCGTTGTGGGGGATTTTAACTTCCCTGATGTTTGCTGGAAGGACCACTCAGCAACCCAGCCACAGTCCAGGAGGTTCCTCCAGTGTATGGATGATAACTTCCTCCTGCAAATGGTGGATGAGCCGACCAGGAGAGGAGCGCTGCTGGATCTCATCCTCACTAACAAGGAGGATCTGGTCGAAGCAGTAAGGGTTGAGGGCTGCCTTGGTTGCAGCGACCACGAGATGGTGGAGTTCAGGATCTTGTGTGGTAGGACTAGTAGAATACCAAGTAGAATTGCAACCCTGGACTTTAGCAGGGCAAACTTTGGCCTTTTCAAGCAATTGCTAGGGGAAATCCCATGGGCAAGGCTGCTTGAAGGTAAAGGGGCCCAAGATAGTTGGTTGACATTCAAGGACTGCTTTTTCCGTGCTCAAGATCGGAGCATCCCGATACGTAGGAAGTCAAGGAAGAGGGCCAAGAGACCTGCGTGGCTAAATAGGGAATTGCTGGGTATGCTCAGGTGGAAGAGGAGAGTTTACAGGTCATGGAAGGAGGGGCTGGCCACTTGGGAGGAATATAAGGCTGCTGCTAGAGGATGTAGGAAGGCAGCTAGGAGGACTAAGGCCTCCTTAGAATTAAATCTGGTGAGAGGGGTCAAGGACAGCAGAAAGAGCTTTTTCAAATACATGGCAGACAAAACTAACACCAGAGGCAATGTAGGCCCACTGATGAACAGGATGGGTGCCCTGGTGACAGAAGATACAGAGATGGCAGAGTTACTGAATGCCTTCTTTGTCTCTGTCTACTCTGCTGCAGGCAGTCCTGAAGAGCCCTGTACCCCTGAGACCTTAGATGAAGTCAGGTTGACGGAGCGGTTTGCCTTAGTCGATGAGGAATCGGTTAGAGACCAGTTGAGCAATCTGGACATCCATAAATCCATGGGTCCAGATGGGATGCACCCGTGGGTGCTGAGGGAACTGGTGGAAGTCATTGCTAGACCACTCTCCATCATCTTTACCAAGTCTTGGGAAACGGGAGAGGTGCCTGAGGACTGGAGGAAAGCAAATGTCACTCCAGTCTTCAAAAAGGGCAAGAAGTAGGACCCGGGTAACTATAGACCGGTCAGCCTCACCTCCATCCCTGGGAAAGTGATGGAACACCTTATCCTTGGTACCATCTTAAGGCATATCAAGGATAAGAAGCTTATGAGGGGCAGTCAACATGGCTTCACCAGGGGGAAATCATGTTTGACCAATCTCTTAGCCTTTTATGAGGAAATAACACGGTGGATGGATGATGGCAGAGCGGTGGATGTAGTCTACCTTGACTTCAGCAAAGCATTTGACACAGTCTCCCACAGCATCCTCACGGCTAAAATGAGGAAGTGTGGACTGGATGATCGGGTAGTGAGGTGGACTGTGAACTGGCTGAAGGAGAGAAGCCAGAGAGTTGTAGTCTATGGGGCTGAGTCTAGTTGGAGGCCTGTAACTAGTGGAGTGCCTCAAGGGTCAGTACTGGGACCGGTATTATTTAATATATTCATCAATGATTTAGATAAGGGAATTGAGTGTACTATCAGCAAGTTTGCTGATGACACTAAGCTGGGAGGAGTGGCTGACACGCCAGAAGGCTGTGCTGCCATCCAGCGAGACCTGGACAGGCTGGAGAGTTGGGCAGGGAATAACTTGATGAAATATAACAAGGGAAAGTGTAGAGTCCTGCATCTGGGCAGGAACAACCCCAGGTTCCAGTATAGGTTGGGAAACGACCTGTTAGAGAGCAGTGTAGGGGAGAGGGACCTGGGGGTCCTAGTGGACGACAGGATGACCATGAGCCAACACTGTGCCCTTGTGGCTAAGAAGGCCAATGGCATCCTGGGGTGTATTAGAAGGGGGGTGGTTAGTAGGTCGAGAGAGGTCCTCCTTCCCCTCTACTCTGCCCTGGTGAGACCCCATCTGGAATATTGTGTCCAGTTCTGGGCCCCTCAGTTCAAGAAGGACAGGGACCTGCTGGAGAGAGTCCAGCGCAGGGCAACAAAGATGATTAAGGGAGTGGAACATCTCCCTTATGAGGAAAGACTGAGGGAGCTGGGTCTCTATAGTTTGGAGAAGAGGAGACTGAGGGGTGACCTTATTAGTGTATATAAATATATAAAGGGGGAGTGTCACGAGGATGGAGCCAGGCTCTACTCAGTGGCAAACAATGATAGGACAAGGGGTAATGGGTACAAACTGGAACACAAGAGGTTCCACTTAAACTTGAGAAGAAACTTCTTCTCAGTGAGGGTGACAGAACACTGGAACAGGCTGCCCAGGGAGGTTGCGGAGTCTCCTTCCCTGGAGACATTCAAAACCCGCCTGGACACATTCCTGTGTAACATTATCTAGGTGTTCCTGCTCCGGCAGGGGGATTGGACTAGATGATCTTTCGAGGTCCCTTCCAATCTCTAGCATACTGTGATACTGTGATATATATGCATACATTTATGCAGGTGTAAATTATATATACTTATATGTATACTTTTATATATGCATATGCTTTACATATATAGCTTTATGTATATGTATACACATATTCTACTAAGTTAAACTGAACCTTCAAAATTGGTTTTGGAATTAAGTAAAGATAATTTTTGTATTACAAGGTCTGTTGAATTTTATAATGGATTGTAAGCTTACTTCAACAGCCTTTTTTTTAATCAATTTTTTAATTTTTTAAAAAGAAAGCACTATGTAAATGTTAGCATGAGAATGGAATCCTGAAAAAAGACTTAAGTGTGTGTGGGATCTCATTGTGTCTTGAATTGTGCATGCCTGAGGGAACTCCCTGAATTCTGAGGGGCTTCTTACATGTACATATTAGCTCTTGACAGAAGGATTTTATAGATACAGAGGAGTTGAGGGACTTCAGCTTTGAAAGTTTTTCTTGATATGGTAGCCTATTTAGCTAGAGATATATACATATACATTATCTAGAAAAAAAACCAACAAAACAACTCATCTGAGTTGTTGATGCTTTTTCTTCTTCCCCCTGAAGGATGCAAAGATTGATCCAGAAGAATTTACAGGCCGCCTTCAATCAGAACTCAGGTCATCTCCTCAGCCGTATCTCGTACCTTTCCTTAAGGTAATGCAAATATTGCTTATATAAATGTATTTCAATGCAAATGTCAATGCATTAAGTTTTAGAATATACTTTTAAAAATATGTTTAAAATAATTGATTAGCTGATCCTGCTTGTAATCTGGAACTAATCTAATATAGAAATTCTGATGTAATACCAAATGGATTTATTGTTGGGTCCTAAATTAGTATATGTGGGGGTAAATTTAACTTTTAATTGGTTCTTGTACATAAGCTACAATAGCATCCGTATGCAAGATTATATGCAAACATACAGAGTGTGTTTAATTATGCCCCAACAAAACCACAACTGTAATTCTAAAAGCATTTTTCTTCTAGTCCAAAACTTCTCAATTTGGGGCAGATGTCCTCTCTTCTCTCCCTGCAGCTTTTCTTCAGAACTCTCTCCCCCTGCTTCTGTTTTTTTATGTTATCATTAACCCTTATTTGTGCCTTTTCCTGCTCTTATGCTGCAGTCACTTACAGAATCATGATAAGTTTTAACTTGTTTCCTTTCTTTCAAGTCCTTTCTTGGCAACAGGCATTAAGTTTTTAAATAAATATTAGAAGTTTAGAAAGAACTGTAGCTTGGCTTAAATGCACTTGCATTCTACAGCTGCCTGGGGAGAGCAATTCGAAAGAACTCTACTACCACTTAAAATAGTAAAAAGTTTGTGAAGGTACAGTATAGCCTTTTAGAACTGTTTTTTTGTTGAACTAGTCTGAACATGAAACATACAATAGTACATTTTTTCTAATCCAGTCAGAATACATTAGATCAGTAAAAATGCAGTAAACAGCTATTGCTGTAAGGCACCAGCAGTTGAATCATCTTGTTCTAGGTACTGGAGGCATGTCAGAAGTAAATTGGTGCAGCTTACTACTTCCAGCATGCAATGGGAATAGAGCTGTTCTATGGTTCTGCCTTTTCTATTTTCAGTTGTTACCCTTCCAAAGACCTAAGCTACAAGCTCTAGATAGTTTTGAGGAGGGGAGTGTTCTATTTTATGGCTATGGTGGAGTTAGGCCACATCAAAATCTACAGGGTTGCTAAATCCAAATTGAAAGCTTATTAAAAAATAAATGGATTCTTGCCTCTTACAAAATATGTTCAATCTTATTTCTTTTTATTGAATAGGCTGATAGAAAAATGGGAAAGCAAGCTGCATTCTTTTAATTATGTTTACAGCAAATTTAAAAGTGTTTTTTTGTCAACCTGCTAAATTTTGTTATTACATAAACTTTCTTCTGTTTTTAGAAAAGTCTACCTGCATTGAGACAATCTTTACTGAATAGTCAACATTCAGTTTTGCAAGGACAGCCATCTCAGCAGTCACTTCAACAAACCAGGATATCACAAGTTATACCTCAGTCTGCCTCTGGAAGCATTTCCTCTGTTGTCACCAAACAGACAATAGGAATAAGGCAATCAAACAACATTTGCACAGTCTCTGTATCAAATACAGTGCAGCCTCCTCAGGTTAAGTTGGTACAATCCAATCAGAGTTCTCAACTGGTAGGTACTGTAGTATAAAAGAATTTCTTAAACTGAATAGCAGTTTTCAATGTTATTGCAGCTTGTTTGGGAAAATACTTTTTTGTTTGTGTCATATTGTCGTGGCTTAAGCCCAGCTGGTAACTCAGAACCATGCAGCTGCTTGCTCACTCCCCCCACTTCTTCCTTCCCTTGCTCCTGGAGGGATGGGGAGGAGAACTGAAAGAATGTATCTCCCATGGGTTGAGATAAGAACAGTCCCATAACTAAGGTATAATACAAAACTACTACTACTACCATCAGTAATAATAAAGGTAAGGGAAATAACAAAGGGAGAGAATACTCACCACCTGCTGACCAATACTCAGCCTGACCCAAGCAGCGATCTGTGCTTTCTGGGTAACTCCCCCCAGTTTATATACTGGGCATGATGTGCTGTGGTATGGAAGACCCCTTTGGCTAGTTTGGGTCAGGTGTCCTGTCTGCTTCCTCCCAGCTTCCTGTGCCTTTTCTCCCTGGCAGAGCATGAGACTGAAAAAGTCCTTGATTGGGGTAAGAATTACTTAGCAACAACTAAAAGCATCGGTGTGTTATCAGCACTGTTCCCACACTAAAGTCAAAAACACAGCACTGCCCCAGCTACTAAGAAGGAGAAAATGTCTGCTACTGCTGAACCCAGGACACATATTCTGTGACATATAGTAGTACCTCATTTTATGGCAGTTAACATGTATGTTCAACCATTAGTTTAGGCAACATTATTGACATAGCTTAAATTTAAGAAACTACACTCTTGGCCTTTTTGACTGGAATACAGTGATTGTTATGAGCACAGTGGAATGTGAGTTAATTACAAATGTAGAACAGAAAGCTTTTCAATATTTAGACAAGGGTATAATTTTTAGTATATCATTAGATATGCTGTTTTGCTCAGATTCATCTGTATAAAAATTAGTTCTTATTTTAAACTCTTCTACATATATTTAGAAAATCTTGTAGAAGAATAGTTGTACTGTACCAGCATGTTTTGTTTGGAAAAAGTGCCATACTTTGTTATTTACTGAAATATCATTGCTGTGTATACTGGAGAATTATGCACTTAGACTCCTTAATTTCAAAGGCACTATCAATAAGTCAACTTTACAGCCAGTTACTCATTGAGTAATACACACAGACATTTGGATATTTTGCACCTTAACTTGGCTGCTTTCTGTTCAGCCACTTGCAGTCTTTCTTTTCCTAAGGTGGGTTCTCCCCATTCCTTCTGGACTGTTGCATTAATTAGAATAGTGTTCCTCAGGTTTTCTATGGCTTGTTTTTGATTTATCTATGTTAGTTTGTGTTCATGTCTTATCTATGTAAGACTGAATTGACTTTGGTAATAACTTTGGTTCTTCAAGATAGGGAGCAGGAAATGGTTGCAATTACAGGCAGCAAGTGTAAAAATTACTTCATTTCCTGGGGAAGGCAAATTTCTGACAGCTGCTGACAGGTCTCTTAAAAGTATAAATGTTCATGGCCAATAAGTGTAGCCTTATCTCATGCAACAGTCTTGGGACTAACCTACTTCCAGGTAGCACAGCTTTTTCCAGTGTTCTGCAACCCACTTGAAACACTCCTCTGCCTACTAGCCAGCTAGCACCCCACCTTTCGACAAACACTGACGTATAATAAAAATGTCTTAGTAAGTCTGCAAGAATTCTTATTCTTATGATTATAGTTTTTGTGGAATATTTTCTGAATGGGATAAAGCCAAATTTTTGGGGGAGAGAATTTTGGTGTCTGTCTCTCTCACATGTTGGTGCTTACTCAAAGCAAGCAATTATGATGTTAACCTCAGTAGAGATTAGCAATATCAAGAGTTGCTCTGTAATTTTGACATACCTGTGTGTCATGGTTTAAGCCCAGCTGGTAACTCAGAACTACACAGCTGCTCACTCACTCCCCCCTTTTCCCCCCACCCACTCTGGGGAGGAGAATCGAAAGAATATAAATCCCATGGGTTAAGACGAGAACAGTCCAATAACTAAAGTATAATATAAAACTACTGCTACTAATAATAATAATGGAAGTAACAAGGCAAGAGAATATAAAACTAAAAGGGAAGGGAAAAAATACCCAATAAACACAAGTGATGCATAATACAACTGCTCACCACCTGCTGACTGATACCCAGCCCGACCCAAGCAGTGATCTGCCCTTCTGGGTAACTCCCTCTAGTTTATATACTGGGCATGATGTGGTGTGGTATGGAAAACCCCTATAGCTAGTTTGGGTCAGGTGTCCGGTCTCTGCTTCCTCCTGTCTTCTTGTGCCCCTCCTCACTGGCAGAGCGTGAAAGACTGAAAAGTCCTTGATTAGAGTAAGCATTACTTGCAAACAACTAAGCGTTGTTCTCAGACTAAAGCTGAAACACAGCACTGCACCAGCTACTAAGAAGGAGGAAAATAACTGTTACAGCTGAACCCAGGTCAGTATCCACCCCTTATTCCATACCATACATGTCATGCTCATATCCCACATTTTACAATATACCATCACTTTTTGGCTTTTTGTCTCTTGGTACATATATATATACACACACATATATGCAAACACACATAGAGACAGATATCGCTCCTTAATTCACGGGGCAGGAGAGGCTGTGTGTAGTGTTGGATTGTTGCCTGCTCATGACACTACTGAACTCATCTGGTCACTGCTGAGCTTGTTTGATTTCATCAAAGTTCACTCTTTGTTGGGGTAATGATTGGAAGGAACTCAGGGTCAGTTGATGGTGGCCTGAGGACAGTTCTAGGAGAATCCTGCTGCTGCTGCTGGCTTTTCCCATGACTGTTCTCTAGTGATGATCATGATGTCACATATAGAAGTGTTATATAGCAGGCAACAGCGTATAATTGAGTTCATTGGCTGTTTTCCTCTAAAATCAAATCCCCTTGAGGTCCACAAAAGACTTTCCCATCTTTCCACATTACCCACCAAGTATGTCCAGGTCACTGAGCAAAAGGAATCATACAAGTGGGTTTGACTTTACCTGAAGCAGGAATAACCCAGACTGTCTTCCCCAGAAGATTATTTATGTTCACCACAGGAACTTTATCCCCCTCTACTGTACATAGAAGTACATTGGGCTGGGTCAACCCTGTTGGCAGATCCCCTAGTGTTGACCAAACAGGTGGCTTTTGGTAAATGCGTATCCCAATGTTTTAAAGTCCCACCACCCATTGCTCTCAGTGTAGTTTTGAACAGCCCATTGTACTGTTCGATTTTCCCAGAGGCTGGTGCATGATAGGGGATGTGATATACCCACTCAATGCCATGCTCTTTGACCCAGGTGTCTATGAGGTTATTCTGGAAGTGAGTCCCATTGCCTGACTCAGTTCTTTCTGGGGTGCCATGACGCCACAAGACTTGTTTCTTAAGGCCCAGGATAGTGTTCTGAGCAGTGACGTGGGGCACAGCCTATGTTTCCAGCCATCCGGTGGTTGCTTCCACCATGGTAAGCACATGGCGCTTGCCTTGGCAGGTTGGTGGGAATGTGATATAGTTAATCTGCCAGGCCTCCCCATATTTGTACTTCAGCCATCGTCCTCCCTACCAGAGAAGCTTTAACTGCTTGGCTTGCTTAATTGCAGCACATGTTTCACATTCATGAATAACCTGGACAATAGTGTCCATTGTTAAGTCCACCCCTCGATCATGAGCCCATCTATATGTTGCATCTCTGTCCTGATGTCCTGAGGTATCATGGGCCATTGGGCATTTGCCAGCATCCATGAGTCAGTGTAAAGTACTGGCCTTTTTTCTTGTTTAGCATTGTCCAAGGACAGCTGGATGGCTTTCACCTCTGAAAACTGACTCAATTCACCCTCTCCTTCATAAGTTTCTGAAACTTGGACCGCAGCTACTTGGAGTCCCCTAAATCTCCGATGCATTGCTACAATACGACAGGATCCATCAGTAAACAAGACATATTGCTTCTCACTTTCTGGCAGCTCATTTTATGGTGGGGACTCTTCAGCAGGCATCAGCTCCTCCTCTGGTGACATTCCAAAATCTTTGGCCTCTGGCCAGTCCATGATAACTCCTAGAATTCCTGGATGACAGGGATTTCCTATTCGATCTCATTGTGTAATTAGTGCAGCCCACTCCATGTAGCATCAGTTGCATGATGTGTAGAGGAGACAGTGCCTTTGAACACCCAGCCCAGCCCAGGCAACCAGGGTGCCAGGAGGTGCTGTGCTTCAGTGCCAATCACTTCTGTAGCAGCTCGAACCCCTTCATAGGCTTCCACTGTCTCTTTTCAGTTGGCGTATAGTTGGCCTTGGATCCTCTGTATCCCCAACTCCAAAAGATGGGGGGTTGACTTTGAGTCTCCCCTGGAGCTTTCTGCCAGAGGCTCCATGTAGGACCCGTCTCCCTGGCTGCTGTTTAAAGCACATGGCTCACATCTTGCTGGGTTTGGTCTGGCCTGAGGGCTTACTCCATGAACTCTCTCGTTTAATTTGTTCCAAGGCTTGTTGCTTCAGGGCCACATTTGAAATCGTTCTTCTTACAGAAGGCTTACAGTTAGACTGTAATTTGGGGTGTGCATTTTCCAGAACCCCACGACACCTAAGAAAGCTTGTGTTTATTATTAGTTGTTCTTTGACCTTCAGCAACCCCACAACGGAAGGATCCTCTGAGAGACCAGGCAGGGTGGACAGCTGTTTCATTTTCTCCAGTATCCTTTTGGGTCTTTGAAGTCCTCTCTCCTGATACAGTATGCCAAGGATGTATGGAGCCTCTGGACCAGTCATGATGGGATGCTTTTGCCACTCATTCCAAATTAGGCTGATTTCAGCCTCCAGTACAATTAACTTGGGATCCTCCTGTCACTCCACAAATAGAAATGGGTTCTACCTCTTGACAGCTTGATGGCATCAGGGTACACTGTGTATTGGTGTCTACTAGAGCCTTATAGTCCTGTGGGAGTGATGTGCCAGGCCATCTGATCCACACAGTCCAATAAACGCAATTGT